GTTTTTTTTTAAAGAAAAATTAGGTATAAGAGAGATGAACAGTGTGTGCGTTGTGGGCAGAAAAATATTTGATAGAGTTTGTTGGATGTGTAATTTTAAAGTTTTTAACGAATTTAATGTCTGTTTGGTAATTTAGATCGCATGTTTTAGACCCAAAGTGCTAGCTGAGGACGTGTTTGATAATTTTTTTGAGATTTTGAAACATTGATAAAATATTTTGAACCAAAAAGAGGCCCCAATTTCGAAATTATTATCCCCCTATTTTCAGATTTTTGAACCTAAATTGTGCATTATTCAATAATTCAAACCCTTCCTACCTCAATTGAATCATTTCTCACACAAAACCCCATCTCTTGAATATACCCATCAAATACAATTTCAAAATTTATTACTTTTTAAGCTTATAATCAACTAGTATATATTAATGTCATTTCAAATAACGAGTTCAAATCACATTTTTTTTAACTTTTCATTTAAAGCAAAAAAAAAAAATGAATCATTTCTCACACAAAACCCCATCTCTTGAATATACCCATCAAATACAATTTCAAAATTTATTACTTTTTAAGCTTATAATCAACTAGTATATATTAATGTCATTTCAAATAACGAGTTCAAATCACATTTTTTTTAACTTTTCATTTAAAGCAAAAAAAAAAAAGTTCATACCACCACTTTACAAACTAATTTTCCGGACGGATCCTCATTCTCTCTCTCTTTTTTTTTTGGGACCTAGTTGAAGCATGTAAATTTTTTATCTTCTTTGTGTTGTGGTCGAGCTTTATAAAAGTTTAGGGCTTGTTTGGTTACATTTTTAAGTCATTGTGACTTGAGTGTAGATCTTTAGTTGAATTTGAATTATAACTTAAGTTGAAGTTGTAATTTGAGTTTGTGTTTGGATGTGCACATTTGAGTTATGGTTTGAATTGAGAATCTATTTGAGTTATGGTTTGAATTGAGAATCTATTTGAGTTATGGTTTGAATTGAGAATCTATTTGAGTTTGTGTTCAGGTGGGTCAAAACTTGAATTTATATTTAAATAGTATTTTAATAAAAACTCAACGATGATGAAAAATTTTAATAGGGTATATGGATGAGATTTTATTCATCTCTTCGTTGTGAATGCATAAAAAAAATCATCTCAGTCGGAATTAAAACGAAAAAAGTTATGGTGTTTTTAAGAATAGAAAAAAGATTGTTCATTAACTTGGGTTTAAGTTTAATGACTTAAATTGAAGGGAGAACTTGAACTCATATTTTAACCTTAAACTCAAGTTTAAACGTAAACTTTACAAAAAAAATATGAACTTAAATAAAATTGTAACTTGAGTTTAAATTTTTTTTAAAATTTTTATCCAAAAGTAAAAGCCTTTATTTTTGTGTTGCATCTTTTCTTACAGGACACGGAGTGTGTTTTACCCCAATAATAAGTACTCAGAGCAAGTCTATCTAGAAGGTCCAATGCAGCCAGTAGATACATCATACATCATACAGCATACATGTGGAAAATTGTTGAAATTGATTAATGCGATTTTTGTTTTTGAATTGATTAATGATGGGATTATCCATTAATTCCAGGGGGTCCCCTGATGTTGTCTTTCCTCGCTCAACAAACAAAGGACAGAGACACGTGTGATTACAAAGCATCCGCCAAAACTAGTATTAACTATAACAATCAATAAGCTCGTTTTAATTAAAAGTAATAAAGCAATAGTATTGGAAACTAACACGTATCACGTATGCAACAACTTTAGTTCATTCCTGGTGAGCCAAAAACAAATATTAATCAAACATGTAGAGTGATTCGTTCTCTGATTCAAATCATGATTCATAATTCGTTACAGTATTTTTTTCATAAAAAATTCACGTAAATTGAAAATAATTCGAATCACATGGTTTGAATCTTCCAACTAAACGTTTCTATACGAATACTAATAATAATAATAATAATAATAATAATATGTTTGAATAGCCGCTAATTCATGTATTGATTAGCATTATCATTAGCTAGAACTGGGAGATTACCTCCTTAGAACTGGGAGATTACCTCCTTAAACAGTAAGTTATGCGAATTTGGATTTATGGATTTTTTTTCTTTTTTTTGGAATTTTCCATTGTGGATTATATCTGTACGAATACTGCTGTTTTGTCAGTTTATGGCCTTCTAGAGAGACGGCCTTCTAGAGAGACGTGTAATAAGAGAGTGGAAATTGGGAGATTCCTTAGCCCTTTTATCTGCTGATGGTCTTTAAGTTTTCAAAGATCATGTAGTGACAATTGGATTGGACAGTACATGTACAATTACTCTTTGAAAATAATATAATTTTAAATTATGAGATATTTTGTAAGAAAATTTTGTGATAAGATAAAAAAAATGAATTATAAGTAATTTTTTATTTTTAATCGTTGTATTTATATAAAAATTTGTTTATTATGTATGACTGTTAATAGAGCATTTTTTTTGTTGAAATATAATATTTATTTATATTTTATCATAATTCTTTTTCTTGCCTTAATTTTACAAAGGAGAATTCTTTCATAGTGTAAGGGGAAAAAAAGCCATAAACAAAACATAGTCATGAATTATTGTCTTTTTATTACAAAAAAGTGTATTTGCGGTGGATAAGGTTATTTTACTCCATCAAAAACGAAATTGTATTTCAATTGTTAAATTAATTTTGTAACGGTTTGATTTAGAGTATGGACAATTTGTGTTGCGCGTCGAAAATTTTTATTGTAAACATTTACATATATGACCATTAAAAAAATTTAAATCCAATAATTAAAAATAACAGTAATTCTTAAGAGTGAAGTTCATCATAAATATTCTCAACATTAAATTCTATCCTATTCAATTGGTGTACTTGTATTAAACTAGTATAATTCTAATTTTGATATAATCAGACGATGTGGAATTACATTTGGTTCTCCTAATGGTAAAATACTTTTGGTTGCACAAAGCTTTTTAACCCAATTTTGACACATTTTAAAGCCTTGCCATCTAACCATATTGCCATAACAGCATCATCATGTCACCGTCGTGGCCAGCAATATTCATATCTAAAATTAAAATTTTATGTTGTTAATACATGTATATATATGTGTATATATTATGGTTCCGTTTATTTCACCGATTCAAGTTTTGTTAAAATAAAAAATTCTTAAAACCAGTTATATTTAACTTTTTTGTTACAGTAAAAAGTTTACATAAAATCACATCTCAATTCGAATTAAAAACTCAAATCAGCGAACTAAACGGGTTCAAAAAGTTTACGCTTTTCACGTAAATCCTGTGATTGGTCACGCACCAAAAACTTCCGAATATGATTAAAGAGTTAATTTTTTGGAGCAAGCAAAATTATAAGAGGTCTTCCACATACGGGTGCATATGCCACTTCGCTATAACAATGGCAACCATAATGGTAGAGTACTTTTAGCCTATATTTGGAGTGGAAAAGGGATTAGACAGAAAATAAAGAAAGGATTTTAAATAAAAAAAATATATAATATTTAATTGTTTGATAAAAAGGAAATTGTAAAAAAAATGTAATATTTATGGGGTTTATTATTCTTTAACCTTTTTAACTTTTTAGAAAGTAAAGAGAAGAGAAAATATTTGACAAAAATAAAATTCTCATCACACTGTATCTTCTTATTTGTATAATAGTATGGTTGTTAGGTAAGTTAGACATTTTCTTTCCTCTTTTTTCTTTCTTAGTATGGTTATTAAATAAATTATATATTTTTTTCCTCTTTTTTCTTTATCTTCTACCGAAAGCTTCCTCTTTCTTTGTATTTTTTCTCACGGTCACATTTTCTGCTTCTTTTCCCTTTCTATTTTCTATCCCTCTTATTAAAGATAGCATTAAAAATTGAAGTTTTTTTTTTGAAAAAAAGAAAAAAAAAAGATTTGATAGGCATTATGTAGGAAAGTAGGAGATCTGCTAAAGCAGTACATGTTTGGTAGTCTTTTGTGCCATAATGAGATTTTTTTTTTCATTAATTTGACGTGAATAAACTAATGAAAATTGTTATATGATGTTGAAGTTTGAAATTTTAGCAAATATTAAGGCTTAAGTCAATTGCTTAACCTTAGTAACAAGATTTCATTGAGCTTGTATAAGGCTTAATTATGTAATCTAACCAATCAGAAGTGAAGTTTAGGCGCATTGTCCAATTTTGGGGAGATTATTTATTGACAATTGGTTTAAATGTAGACGCGAATTAGACAGAGTTTAATAAATCAGAATAATTCCACCCATATCAAGTTGTGACCTATTCGGGATAAATAAATGAAAAAGAACTACATTTTTCTTGTGGATTAAAACAATGAACCAGAATTTTGTAATTCAGAATACTAAATAAATGTATATTTTATGATTTTACCTGTAATTTTTTAGGGAATTTTACCTACCATTTATGCTGTGTTTAAAAAAAGCGAAATTCACACATTCTTGAAGACTATTTCAGAAATATATGTATTTTTAAATATGTATATACATATATAGTACCATTATACATTTCCCTAAAAAAATACATAATTTATCATTATACATGCGCACTTAATTAGCGTGGGGAACTTGTTAAGGAATGGCAATATGCAGAACAAAATTGTGCCCCTTTGGAAAGAAAAAAAAAAATGCATACATACGGAGACAAATATTACATTTACTAGACCAAATAACTTTGAACTTCGAAATATATATATAAATGTTAATCACACATAATTCATTGCTTGATCATATAATTACACGATGGTCACTGCATTTGAGGCACTCCATAATAATTTTAAGTACAAAATCATATAACTATTTACAACTCTCCATAAAAGTAATAAATAAAAATGGAAAAACGATACAGCGTTTTGTTTATTGTTTTATCAAAAAGCCGTCATCAATACTCCAAAACAAAAGTCCATACTTAATTATAAATAACTTTTACTTTCCATTTTCTTTTAATGGGAAATTAAAGTTACTTTCTGGAAAAAAAAAAAAAAAAACCTATTATGAACTAATAATAAAAGACAAAACTTTACTGGGGCTGAACTCAGAAAAGAAAAGATTCTTTCCATTTCAGAAACTTCAGAATGGAGGGAAGGTTTTTCCCACGGTGTTCACATTAGCAAAGAAGCCAACCAAATCTCGCCTGTACGGAAGAAAGGTTGATCGTCTTTTCTCCGCCTTCTGATTCAACGCTCTGTTCTTCACGTAGAAAACCTGGTGAGCCGCCGCCATATTTTTTCCCTTTCCGGCGGCGGAGACGGCAGAGCCGCTTTTACGGATCGGCTTCTCTTCTGCTTTGTTGGTTTTGTTATCCTCCGTCGGAGACTTCCTCGAGCCAAACGACGGCGTAAGGAAGACGAACGATTCCTTGCCGTCGCTGTGGCTCCGCCGGAGAAGGTCGCGGAAACGCCACCGCCTCGAGCACGATCCGGTCGACTTGCTCTTCTCGCACCGCGCCGGCGACGGGGGAACGCCCTTCGGAGTCCAAACGCAGTACGTCCCAGGCGGAATCCCGTCCAATTCGTCGGCCTCCGAACACGACGACGACGAGGACGACGGCGGATCTGGAACCTCCTCCTCGTCGCCAAGAGCAAATCGGTCTCCTCGCCGGTCCTCCTCGCAAGTGCCTAACAGAAGGTCGCGGTTGAACACTGGAAAAACGGGGCCGATCTGAGCGCCGTTTAGGAAAACCTCGTCGCCGGCCGTAGAAAGCGAAACGAACTCGAAATCGTTATCTTCGTCATCGCCGGAGGTCTCCAAGTTTAATTTGCAGAATTCTCGGGAAACTTTAGTGGCGATATCGGCGATTGAATCGGGAGAGGAGCAAAGCTGGGAGAGACAGAGACTTCAGAGCTTTGGTCTTGCATTGTGGCTGATTTTCCGTTTGAACTACACATATATGTGTATATATGGACAAAGGTGTATATGTGTGTGTGTATAAATATATATATATATATAGAGAGAGAGAGAGAGAGAGAGATGCTAAACTATATAGGATATGTATGAGTTGGTTAGGGTTGGGATCTTGAGGATAAAGGTAACTGTCTCTCTTTATTTTATTTTTTTTATATATTTTTTTTGTGGTAACAAAAAAAAAAAAAAAGAGGTAACTAAATTAGGGAGACGCACAAAGTGCTTGCCGAAGATAAGTATATTAGTAAATAGCGTATTTTATTTTATTTGAAGGGAAAAAGTGTCAAAATCGAAAATTTTTATTTTTATTTTTATTTTTTAGGGTACCAATAGAATAGTTTTGATATCCTGTAAATGGAAGGATTGTCATATTTTGTTTAATTTAGGATGATTTTGATTTGATTTACTAGTTTACAATACTAATATATAATTCATGTTTACAATCGTGTCTTATGAAAGGATTTTTAAATAATTTATATTCTATTATAAAATTAAAGAATTTTGTGGTACCATACAAAAGAGAGAAAAGATATAAATGTAACGAGTAACAAAAATTTTAAACTGTTAGATAATTTAGAATCATATCATATCGAAAAAGTGAAATGTTTAGTGAATTTTGATGGAAATATTACAGTTTAAAATTTTGTCAACGATAGGGTTTTTTTTTTTTAAAAAAAAAAAAAATCTATTTTCATTTTCATCTCGAACTCTGACCATTTTTTGACTTGAAGGTCCCTCTCATTTTCATTCATTTTGTTTTCACGTTATATATATATATATATATATACACACACACTTAGATTTCAATTCATAGTGGTGATAGGTTTAATTTAGTTCACATATATCTATTTAGTTATATTTTTTTATTTAGATTTTTCGCATTTGTGTGACCTCTTCGAAGATTTATACCTCCTAATTCTTATATTTATAAGATTTTAGACGGGTGAAAATGGGTATATCGAAAACAACCGTATTAACTAGAACTTATGTTGGAGGTGGAGGTGAAAGAGTCCAAGATTTATTTTATAAAGCTCAAATTTATCTGAGTTATATGCACACTAATAAAAAATAGTACATGTTATAAAAATTTTCATCGAATCAATAGTTTATTAAAAAAATAAATAAATGGTGCATCAATAAAATTTTCTTGAGGCTATTTTGTCCGAACACTTCCTGAACTTTTTGAATTTGATAATTTAGTCTCTAAACTTTTTTCTTAGCAATCAACACTCTAAATTTATAATTTTTGACACTTTCAACATTAAAATTTTGACGATTTTTTGCACCTAACTTGCAATTAATAGCCTTATAAGGACATTGATGTTCATATTTGTTTAGTTTCAATATAAATACATTTAAAAATTTAAACTTAATTTAAATATAACTTAAACTTTAATTTAAATTTTATTAATACCAAATAAAAAACTTCTTAAATTGTCACTTGTAAGTTTAACACAAAAAAGTACCAAAATTTTAATAAATTTAAACAACAATGACTAAAAATGCTAAAGATAAAAAGTTCAGAGAGTTGATACAAAATTATCAAATTTAAAAAATTCAAGAAGTGTTTATACAAAATAACCTTTTCTTTTCTTTAATATCCTAGAAAATTGTCCGATAAAATTATACAAACAATAATGAGCTTTTATTTCCAAGTCCCTTCTCGGATATTTCCTTCCCTTGATTTACACGTTTTCGTGCGGCAAAAACTCACACGTGTGCCATTGGCAAAAAGGACAACTACAAGTGTGCCGCGCGTTATTAAAGTGGAGATTCCTTCAATAACTATTTCTTTTCCCCTTTCCGAATTCCGCGTAATAAAAGAAGATTTAGCTTCAAAGAAATATGATTAAGTCTGACTAAAATTAACTCTGGAACTGTTCGAGATTGAGCGAAAGAAAAGGGAAAAAAATGAGATATTGCGAAACACAATACAATAGGAAAAAAATGACATCTAATAATGTTTGCTAATAAAAATATGATGGTTCATAATATTACAGTTCATAATTAGTAGGTAATCAACACGATGTGCTGGGGCACACGGAGGTCGGATAAAAACTTTATTTAATAGAGCCCGTTCACTTTTCTAATTTGAGTTTGAAATTTAAATTAAGATGTGATTTTATGTGAGAACTTTTTACTGTAATAAAAAAGTTAGATGTGACTGTTTTTGAGAATTTTTTACTGTAGCAAAACTTAAATTCTAAACTCGAATTGGTGAAGTGAACGGGGCCCGTTGTTTGCTAAGAACGCTTTCAGGATGAGTATCATGTGTCTCCACATCTTGATTATCTTTGTTGGGTTGTTAGGCTGAGGGAAAAGTTGTTCTAAAAATTATTTTTGAGTCTCAATAGAAAATGTCGTTGTTTAGAACATGACATGATATTCCCTAATTCCTGGTCATGAAACTTTATTCATATTTCAATGAGACGTAGGGCTTGTTTGGTTCTGGAATATAAATTTTTGAAATTTTTACAAAAAAAAAAAAAAAAAAAAAATTATAACATAACTTTTTAATTTTAAATTTTCATGAGAGAAAACGTTATAGCAGAACTTTAAACCGGAATTCAAACCCTTTTACCAAACAAGATAGTCGTAGTTGAAATACTGATTGGTTGGCTATGCCTAACTTCTCACAAAATTTTCTTTAAAACTTTATCGAAAAGGGACGAAAAAAAAAGGAATCTAAATGTACTGGGAAAAACTAATGATTTGTTATTGACAACATACGTTATGACGGAGAGGTTGCTAATTTATTCTGTATATATAGCTCAAAATTAATCCACATTTTATTTTATGTTAGCAATATTACCATTTTGTTTTTGTACAGTCACTAATGATTTAATTCAACTTTGTACATTACCTATTAAACCGGAAACAACACATATTGACCAGACCTGATCGTTTACTAAAAGATAACACCTTATGATTAGTACCACATCATAAGTACTAGGTAACACCAATACTATATGATTTTTCATATATGTACATAGTTTTATAAACAAAATAATTACATTGTTAATAAAAAAGACATTAATTATGCGTCTGTGATCACATTTATTATTATTTTTTATATACTTAATTCTAATACTATGGAATATGGATGGTGGAACATTGTGGGTGTGAAGCGATCAAGAGTAGTTGTCATATGTCTTTGTGTTTCAAGGTTTTAATTAATTTACACTTCTTTTCATTTGTTGTTATTTTTATTATTTTATGATACGTGAGAAGCGTTTTATACGTTTTAAGACCAAGAAAATAATGGGCTATACTCCGGGGTTGTTCGGGGAGGTAGTTTTTTTTAGTGAAAAACTCAAAAAAAATGTAACTTAAGTTACAACTTTATTTGAGTTCATGTTCTTTTAAGTTTGAACTCGAGTTTGGAACTAAAACTCGAGTTTAAGTTTCTCCTTCAACTCGAGTTCAGAAACTCGAACTCAAGTTAATGAATAATATTTTTTCTATTCTTAAAAATGTTATAACTTTTTCGTTTTAATTCTGATTGAGATGATTTTTTTTCTATGCGTTGACAACGAAAAGACGAATAAAACTAAACCTATATACCCTATTAAAATTTTTTATCAGGATTGAGTTTTTATTAAAATACTATCTAAAAATAAATTCAAGTTTTGACTTACTCAAATACAAACTCAAAAAAGATTCTTATCTCAAACCATAACTCAAATGTACATAATCAAACACAAACTCAAGTTACAACTTGAACTCAAGTTATAACTCAAACTCAACTCAAAATTTACACTCAAGTCCTTCATTTCTCATCATGTACACGTAATCTCTGCTTTTTTTTTTAAAAAAAAAAAAGCTGTCCCTGTAATACTATATAGTAACAATTGATTATAGTGTTTCCTGTTTTTTGCACGTACAAAACAACGACGCAGAGAAAGGCGATACACACAAATTTTGCCTAGTTTTTTTTTTTTTTTTTTTTTTAATATTACCAATAAAAAAAAATATTATGCTAGAGATATTAGTTGTGCGGTCCTGCTATCATCATTATAATTAAGACACATCAACTTGAGAGCATATGTGATTATGTACCTTTCCACATTTGATGCGCATTTTGACCTACCCATTAGAAAGAATGGTCACGTCTAATGGGTCAATTTTGATACAAATTATAGCAAGCTTCTATGTAAAAAAATGAAAGAAAAAAAAAATTCCACAATTTTCAGTTACTTTCCACTTTTCACATTCCAAGATTTATCCTTGCTATATTAAAAACAGCATATGATTTGTGCAAGAGCACTAGCAAATTAAATTCCAAACGCCGCCCATCATTGTAAAAATTGGAAAGTGAACATATGTGGTTCTAGAATCTATAAAATTGTCAAGTGAAATGAAAATTTTCCGTTCAAAACAAAAAAAAAAAATTGTCAAGAGAAATTACGTAGCTAATTTATTTTTAAGATAAATGACGTACATATGGACAAGGTGGCTAATATTTGTTATGATTGCAAATAAAGAAACAAAGGATAGATTTCACACAGGAAAACGAAATAGCCAAAACAGGTTTGAGAGATTATATATGTGGGGATCAGGTTTATTTAGGGTACGTTTAGTTTGTTAATTTTAGCTTTTAATTTAAGTTAAAATGTGATTTTATGTGATAACTTTTTATTGTAGTAAAAAAATTAAATATGATTGTTTCTGAGAATTTTTTACTATAACAAAACTCAAATTTTAAACTTGAATCGATAAAATGAACAAACGGGGCCTTATTTATTTATTTATTTTGGGACTTAGAACCTAGCTAGTTGTCCCCAACCGTGGACTTTCTAGAAGGAAGATCTGACACTAGAAAATAAATTTTAGAAGCAACAGCGCATGACTTAGAGTCCGTTTGGTATCTAGATTCATTCTATGATTCGAATCATGGTTCATGCTTCGCTACAGTATTTTCTCTCACAAAAAATACACGTAAATAAAAAATGGTTCTAATCACATGGTTTGAATCCATGAACCAAACGCCACATTAGTTGTTACCTTATTTAGTGAAATAATAATATAGAAAAACCCTTTCGCTGGTAAACTGGCCCTTTAATTAAAAGACAAATTAACTATTTGAGAAAGAAGAAAGGAGCATGCAAAGTTGACATTAGTATAAAAAATTGTACATACTACTATAATTTTTTTTTGTTTTGAACTTCTCTACATGGGACTCTATTTTGGAAATTTAAAATATAAAAAAGTTATGGGAAATTAACTAAATAATTACTTTAATTACTTGATAAATGAGAGAAGTACCGACTATTAGCGGATTTCAATTCCGTACCACGACATATCGTTATTATCACTCAACTATATACGTAATTGCTGACCCTAGCCTTTTTTATTGCCAAAATAACACACATACACACACACGCATGTATCATGTTTGCGTATCAACCACTTAGGCACTATGCGATTCTAATTATCAGGTACGTTCATTTCACAACTTAAGTTATGATTTGAGTGGTGTATTTGAGAAAAAAAATACTATAATAAAAAAATTAAATTTAAATTTTTGTGAGATAAAACACTGTAACAATAAAACTTGAGTTGTGATTTGAATTGTGAAATGCACAGAAAAAAATAATAATAGTATATAAGAAGAACCTTCGCGGTCATTTGGCTGTAGAACGATACATGTGAAAGGCATATTATAAGGCAAACTCATACTAATTTATTAGCGAGTATCATGTCAACAAATAAATTAAAAAGAAAAGGACGCTATATATGTGTCTATTATATATTCTACAGCTCTTCTTGGAGGCAATGGATGTTTTCAGAAATATGAAAACAGAAATATACATGTAAAAATACGTACATATATACATATATGTGTCTGTGTGTATTATATACGAACGTATGGGTTATAGATATTACGTATGTTATATTATTCATCCCAAAAATTCTTAGGCAAACATAAAGTGGAGTTTATTTAGGAAGTCCTATTAATCAAGTCTCGGTATAAGATATGATTAGTTCGGCGGTTACTTTCACTCGAGAGTTGAGACTTTGGAAGATTCTAATTAGAGTGGGAATGTGGGATGTTTTTCTAACCTATGCATAAATATAGGTACACACAGTGGGAATAACTTTTCAAAGATAGACTCTTTCAATTAGCATATATTACTATCTAATGCGTTTGGAAATGAAATTCGTACTATGATTCGTGGTTCGTTACAGTATTTTCTCTCACAAAAAACACACGTAAAACGAAAATGGTTCTAAATCCATGAACCAAACGTAATAGAAACTCAAAACCTTTCAAAATAAATAAATAAATAAAAATAAAAGAGACATACAAATTTGCAAAGGATTTCCGCAGAGAAATTATTTTGGCTTAGAATAATTGAAAAAAAAAAAAAAGTGATCGAATGTCAATGGTTTTCATCGTTCTTATACTATAGTTAATTCTTTCTTAAAAAAAAAAAAAAAAAATTTGTGACCAAGTCCCAACCTATCTTGATACTAAAAGTCTAAACTAGTGCCTTACATTTGAACATAATTATTTATTACTATCTATCCCAATTTATTAATTACTAATTTCACTGTTTGACTATTCTGTAGGTACTTATTATTTTTTCTTTGCGCGGCAATATTCTGTAGGTACATACGTATATAAATTTGTATCTAATATTACATTCATTTGGTTTGATGCTATGTACGTATCCAGACTGGCCCTAGCCAGGTTTCTTAATTAACAAGTTGTTTAGTTTAGGCAGCATTAAATAAAAAAAGTAAACTTTGTGATAACGATGACCAAAATGAATCATACCGTTACAATTTGTTTTTTTTTTTTTTAAAGGGAACTATTACTTGCAAGTTGCAATTTGCAATTTGCATTGGCATGGAATGGTGAATGGTGATTATCCACCACAAACACGTGCTTTCTTCTCTATTGTTATTTGCATTAGAAGATTAGCCATATACATATTCTATTTAAAACAATATTCCAGTTTGTGGAATATCATCAAGCAATTAAAAAGTTCCGATCATGTTTATCTCTACCTAAGTGGGTAGTTAAAAATGAATAGAATTATTAAACTTGCAAAAGCTACTGAGGCTGCAATTGCCGGTAAACACAAATTGGGTTATGTGGTGGCACAATTCATGTGATTTTCTAGTTCATGAACGAAAATCTTCTATAAAGGGAGAAAAAAGGGTCAAGGATGGAAAATCTTAGAAGGTGATCCGTGAAAGTAGAAATAGTTGACCAGGACCCGTAGTTGGATTATCACTGGTCTTCTTCATGGCTGCTACTTTCACAAATTTTCCACAATGTGTGACCTAATAATTGAAAAAAAAACCTTAGCCCAACATGAAGAAATTATGATTATACATTTTGGTTGGTTTCTAATTACGATTATGGAATGTAATTCAATCTGATAACTGGGAGAGATTACCATATTCGATAATTTCACACAATAAAATTCGAAGTATTATCCAATAATTTTGTTTTGTGTTGTTGGAGAGACCCGAAGCAGTCGAGTGTTAACAATGCCGAATTTTTGGTCTCCACGAAAGGCCGGGTGATAATCCTATGCTTTGGCAGGAAACAGGTTTTATTTTTATTTATTTATTTTTGTCTCATAGAATGTACCAAATCACTTTTAGCAAGCAATTTAGTATTTTCCCGAAATATAAACTGAAGATAACCCGTGACGATATTATACAACAAAAGGCATGGGAAAAACACAGAGCTTTCTTTGATAAAGTTTTGACATATATTTGCATGACCTTTACATGACTATCTATTTGGAAAGTTGAGCTGTATACAAATCATTTCTCAAACTACACTTCAAATGACTGGCAACATATACAAAAAAACCAAAATAGCAGAAAATTGTAAGAGTTAGAACTTGATATGTTTCATGTTTCCCTAGGTTTCAATCTTTCCCTCAGATGCTGTAGTTTGCCCGTCACTGGCAGAGACAATTCATCAGAATTCTGAGTCTGGTTTCGTCTTTCGACTGTCATTTGTTGTATCATATCATGGTACATTGGTTGAAACCGTGTCTGAAAAGCCCGGTAGGAAAAATATGGTAGAAGCGTCGAAATAACTACAAAAATTGTAACTAACCAATAGAGAGGACTAGGAGCACAGGCTTCCACAAGAACCTTGTATGCTGTAGTTGACACGGTTGGCGGGAGGGAGCCATATATTACTAAGAACACATACCAGAAGGCAATGCTTCCCCAGATGAAGAAGTGCTGAATCCAAGTGAAGTAATTAATAGCTAGTGCCATTTGGCAATTCACCGCCCACACCACGCTAGTATACATCGTGACTCCGAGAACTTCAAAGTCAACAACCTGACCATCTCTCCGAAAAGCCTGGTAAACAGTGGAGTTGGTGGTGAAGAAGAAGATAATTATGGAGCTGATAACTCCATTAATCATCCATCCAAGTATGCGAAGCCAGCTGAAGAGAACGTTCTGTGCTCCCTCTAGATATAAAAACGGGTTCTGCAAATAGAATAATGGAATTTCAGTTTTCCATATATGCGTCTAGGTTGATGGAAAGACGGCCTTCTTTCTAATTTTGACACCCTTCTTGCTTAAAACAGAAAGACTGATTAATTAAACCATTTAAAGAACAGGTTACAACAACTGAAACTTAAACCCAGTGTCTTTCTGGGAAGTCAAGTGGACTCATGCCATCATGCTGCGATCAAGATGGCATCTCAAAGGTACAGTTTGTCACAAACATACATATTTCATCCTAGCTTTCTCTTTGGACTTATAATTCACACATAATCTTAAGAACTATATCAAACTATGTACCTTGAGGCAGAGCCGTGAGGAAACATCCTGATCAAATACACCGAGAGCTATTACAGGAAGCGAGGTGAAGAAGACATTGTAAAATGACATGTACCAATCATTATAAGCCGCTTGTCCAGAGAATGAAGCATAGGCCTCAAACCAAAACAGAGTAAACCCAAATGTGATGTTCTTGTAGAAGAAATAGCATATCTGTATCCACGAAAAAAGAATGATGCATGTCAACAAGGGATAAATGTCTTTGTTCACTTGCTCCCTATCCACATCCACAAACGAACTATTGATTGTACACAAAAATATGTCATTTTTAAAGGAGCAAACTCCAAAGCGTGCAGTTTAAAACCCTCATCCCCAAATGAAACAGGACCTTCAAAAGGGCAAAGCAAAAACAATAACTATGTGAAATCCATCACTGCTACATGATTTTTTTTCTCTCCTTTGTATACAACATAGGGGGAAAAAAAAAACTTTTAAAGGACATGTTGAACACAAAAAATTGTATCTTTGTATATGCAATGGTAAAGAACATTGGAGCATGGGTGTACCATCATTGATATGCGCCTGTAGCACCAATGACCATGTACCAACAAGAGACGTTCCAAAAACCGGAACTGAGCTATAGCAAAATCACTTGCCATCACTGCCTGCAATGAAAGAATGCAATTGAGTATGAACCTGGATCTTTATTCTATCATATTTAATTCTGAAAATAAAATTGTCGTCAATATATTAACTTGTAAGAGATATAACCATTTTCCAGAAAAGATCATATTCACTCACTATGCCAAACTAAATAGGCAGATGTGGCGGCTTTGGGACAAAGGGAAGAGGAGACATTGGAAGCTCAATAGGCTAAAAGCTGACAAGTAGGATAGGTTTCTTATGTTTAATACTTTTCTAGGTAGGTTGAGTATCAGTTGGCTCTATAAAGTTAATTTGATTAAAAGTTATATCCTAACGAGGGGGGGAAAAGGGAATTTCACCAGCAGACTGAATATGGCTTTCTAAGCACTCAGGAAAAGTATGATAGTCTATTTTTTAATGTTTCAGTAGATGTAGGGGTGACAAATTTGTTGCAGGAGCTGAAAACATATGAACTAATAAAAATAATACAGAGAGCTTTGTGATAAATGCAATCAAGGTTTCTAAGAAAACCTGTGAAATGCATAAAGAATGCGGTAGCGAAAGAAAGTTGAGATGGATATCATCGAAATCAACGAATATATGATATAAAACGGAAATATGATAACCTGCCTCCCTTCAACACCACTGATGCCAACTCCAATATCAGCCTCTTGAAGCATGCCAACATCATTAGCCCCATCACCAATTGATAGGGTTGTTTTACCTGTTCCCAGCTTTACCAATTTCGTAACCTGCGTATCTTATGTATTTCTATTAGATAATTCTTTTGTCAACAACAGAAACTATTGATATAAACAAAACGTAAATGGTTAACATGACATATACAAACTTCCATGAGAAAGAACAAGAGAATTACAAGAGCCTTCTGCTTGGGTGTAGAGCGGCAGCAGATAACAGACGCACAACTAGTAGCGAGCCTGAAGAACGAGTCCTCAACATTCTTCTGGAGTGAAAATTCCAACGACTTTCCATCAATTATTAAGCCAAATTCAACAGAACTCCTAGCTGAGTTGGAAATTTTTCTAGCTGACTCAATTTGTGAAATTCCTTCTCTAAGTTGTCCCCTTATGCTTTCCAGAGAAGCCTAAAACAGTTTACGATGTTAGTTTACCAATCCATCTCAAAAGCTTAAGCTGTTGGGCCAACAATAGTTTTATGCTTTAACAGTCCCCCTCATGTATTAATTAGAAAACCCGACATGTGAATATTTAAGCCCGAGATATATTAAAGACTCAACACATGATGACAATTTAAGTGGGGATGAAGAGTGCAATTACGAGGGTTTGAACTCAGGACCTCCCGCTCTAATACCATGTTAGTTTGCCAATCCATCCCAAAAGCTTAAGCTATTAGGAGGTAGGCCAACAATAGTTTTATACTTTAACATATGAATCAGAATTTTACCACAAAAAGTTACTGTCATATAATTTGGAATTCTCTACCTTTGCAGCTGCCTCTTTATCCCCTTGTTTCTCCGTTGCAATAATATCTGGTGAATCTAGGGTGATGACAATCTGCTTCATATCTTGTCTTAGTAAACTACAAGCATACCTGCAAAATTTACATTCATTGTAATACGTGACTTCTTAAAAGCCACAAGACATCTCTAGAATATTCCCGTACCCTATGTTGATTGCAGTTTCCATTTTATCACCAGTTAATACCCATATCTTAATTCCAGCCTGGGAGAGCTTGTTAATGCATTCAGGAACCTGCACTCAGACAACAAAGGATGAATTCAACCACTAAAACAGACAGACAAGCCTTTATAAATATTGAAAAGATTGGGGGGTCTTAGACATCGTAAAATCCATGATACCAAGAAGTATTAGCATCATTTCATGGATGAGAATTTTTAAAATTCAATATGTACCCCCTTTTGCAGCTTGTCCTCCACAGCTGTGGCACCAAGAAGGATCAAATCTCTTTCAATGTTATCAGCTGCTGCATCCACCAATGCATCTCGATCTTCAGAGACAGAAGCTTTTGCCTTCACAAACTCCTCTTCCCATTTTTTATATACTTCTTCATCAAGTTCACGATATGCAACTACCAAGGTTCTCAGACCTGCTTCAGCATATTTGTTTATGTGATCCTTGGTTTGAGCCTCAAACTGTTGCCCACCTTTCGCAAGCCTTTCAAACATAACACTGGATATGCTTTTAAATTAATATTGTACAAATGGTATTTTCTTATACTTGATGAAAAATATTGAAGCATCAGAAGTCTAACCTGTCAGCGCCCTTGCAAAGCAGCAACAACTGATTTTCCATGTTTCTTACAATAACTGACATTCTTTTGCGGAAACTAGTGAACTCCAAGACATGAAGAAGCTCGTACACTCTGGGACATAGAGAGACCAAATCATGTGAAGACTTAATGGTTCAAAAGAAACGAGAGAGAGAGAGAGAGAGAGATAAGATATGAAGTTAAAGAGCTCTATAATCTATTCCTCATCATATATGGGCAATAGCAAACTGTATTTACAGATGATGCTTGTCTATGAGAAAGGGAGCGAGAGATTGCAACATATAGTGATCATGGCGACTGTATCTTTAAGAAACTGATATGAGGCTTTTTTGCCAACTCTTCTTTCAAGGGAGTTTAAAGAATCCCTAGTAAATTATAAACTCTTCTTCACATATGCAAGATGAAATAATCAAACTGATCTAGTTGAGAAACTACAAATATGAAATAGCAAAGTTGCAAAAGGACTAACCTCTCAACCTTTTTCCCTCTATTATAATCCCACTCATAGACATGTGTGCTTGTCTGTGTCCTCTCAAAAAATTCAAAGCCAAGTTCCCTGGCAGCAATGACAAATGCTGCTTCGTCTGGTGACTCAGCCTCATATGAAATTTTCCCCAATTCTTTGTCTCCATCAGGAATGGCTGTATGGCAAATTGCTAGAACCCGAAAAAAATTCCGTATGATATCAGAATGAGGTTCATTAACCCACTGCCCATTCATGATGCGTTCATCTCTGAAGTTGAAACCCTTAATTGACTTTCCGGAGCCTGATGCATCAACATTACGGCATGCATTATCAGATGACGTATCATCAGTTTTAGGCTGCCCACCCCTTTTCCTGCTTGCCAGAGATATTTCCACGTCTGTCATACCGCGGCCATATGGTGTGCCAGCTATTGAACATTTGACAAAGTCCATTGAATTACAAGTCAAAGTACCAGTTTTATCAGAAAGTATCGTATGAACCTGACCAAGTTCCTCATTCAAATTAGAGGTGCGTGCATGAGCTGGTCTATCTGTTTCCTCATCATACATATCCCGATCATGGTTAATGAAGATACTCTGCAATACTTTCACAATCTCAATGGATACATACAACGATATTGGTATCAAATATCCATACAGCATAAGGGCCGTCAAGAAATGAAGAAAAGCAGCAAGAGTCGGTCTTCTGGGGTCATAGAATACAGGGGTGTCATCTGGACGAAGATACCACCTTTTAAGCTTTCCACCAGCAAGATCTTTTTTAGTTTCAATTCCAAAAAAGACCGATCCAATAAAAGATATCAAAATTAGAGCACTGAAGAGAATGTAAATGATTTTATCCATTCTCCTCTCAATTTTACTTCTCTTGGAAGGAGGGTCTGTCGCATTCTGCATCACTTTCGTATCATGCCCAGTAAAAATAACAGCACCATAAATGTAATCAGTGTTTTTAAGCTTCGAATCTCTTAGGAGAATTTGTTGTAAGGATAGTGGATATTGTTTGCCATCATAGTATAGAGTTCCAATAAATGAGTAAAGGTTTTCATTGGGATCCTCGCACTTGATTACTGCAGTAAATTCTTTGAGAGCTTTTTCATCGCGGAGTTGGGATGTCGCCTCCAAAGAATGCTTCAACTTCAAATTAGTCTCTCCATCAAGGTTCATGGTTTCAACATAACAAATACCATCCTCATGGCTTGATGCAAGCAAAAGCAGATCAGCAGGAAAGTACTCATCTTTATACACCTTCACAATGTCACCAACTCGTAGATTCTTCCATCTGGTCTCATGGAATGCAAAATTCTTATACACTTTAACCTTTCGATTATTTGCCTCTATATCCTGAAACCATTTTAAGATTCAGCCAAGAAATGACTTAATCGCAAATTATGATAAATAAGTGGCTACATAAAAGATCAAAGCTTGAAATCAAACGCTGAAAAAGCAACTAATGAAAAATTAGATGAAATTATTGGTGATTAAATAAAAACTTTTGAAATTAAGTACCACTGATTTTCTTCTTCACTTTAACACTATCGATGTTATGTGAGTTGCAACAAACATCACTGGAAAAGAACGTCCTGATACAATAATTCCAAGTTACTAAACCTATTTCTTAATATAGAGCAACCTCAACTCCACCAATGTTTGTGTAATTGAGAACCAGTATAGACTCTGACAGTAAAGGATAATCCATACAGAAGTGAACTTAAGTCTAACTACCAGATAGTTTGACTACTAAATCAACTTAAAGACTGCACTTTTCAATTAAATTAATCAAAATACATTACCAAAACATGATAACAATAAAACAAAATCAAATTAAATAAAGAAAAATGATTTCAAAAAATATTACCTGTTTTCTTCGCCGCCAATCTTCCACAGCTTCCTTCGCCATGGTAGCTCCAATCACTACCAGCAATGGTGCGAGAACACTGACAGCTGTATAAGGCGCCAAGGGGCTAAACGAAACGCAAGCTACAACAAGAAAGTACATATTTGCCACTCTCCTAAACTGCTCGAACAGAGACTTCGGAATGAAATTAATGGCTGTGTACTTGGTTGTCGAAACATAGTTTCCTCTATATCTCAACTGGATCGCCTCTGCACCGTCGGGATCATTGCAATGCACGACCCTTGAGTATCCCCTCTGCCCTATCTGGTCATGACTCTCTTTAAACGACGACCGAAGACACGAAAACGAATAAAGCTTGCTAAAGTGTATCTTTCGCTTCTTCCTTTCCGCCATTTTTGCACAGAAAGAATGAATTAGGTTTCTTGCTTCTTTCTTGTTTCTCTTTCTTGATTTGGTCACCAAATCCCCTCAAATTCCCACCCACATTTCCCTCCTACTTTCGAAGAAAACAAAGAAAATTCACCAAACAACTCACTCGCAACAAAAATTCTCTAAATTTACTCTGCAAGTTACACGTCCGGAGACTGTATTAGCTTCACAATCACCAGAAAAACAAACAGAAATTCCTCAACCCTTCCATTTCACTAACGCGCAACCGATAAATCTTTCGAAGATATCCAAAACCGTATCAGGCGAGCTAAAGCAAGCATAACTTGGCAACCACACATGCTCGAAATGCCTTGCTTCTGAGCTACATAACCGAACGCGCAGAGTCGGTGAGCGAAGTAGCGCATCAAGGAAACTTCTCGAAGCAAATTAACTCAGATTTCGCAGCTCAAGAAGAAGAAGCTAAAGAAATTCACGAATTCCTTACTTCCGTTCCAAGTTGCAGAGATCTCTTCCTTGCGGTTTCGGCCGAAATCTAGAGAGAGAAAGAGAGGATAGAGAGAGAGGGAGTACAGTGCAGGATGGAGAGAGAGAGAGAGAGAGAGAGAGAGAGGGTGAGCTTCGTATGAGTAAGTAGTTAGCTTTTGTTGTGCCTCACTGCCTTTGCCGCTTTTATAAGCAAAATAATAATAATAAAATAAATAACAAAAACAAAATACAATAAATAAAAGAAGAGAAGAGAAGAGAGGAGAGCAGGTGAGAGTGAAAATGGAGGCGGAGCAGGTGATAATTGCCTAACTGTACACTGTACGGTTCCTTTCTTTCATGGCGTTTCCCATGATTCACGAAAAGAGTCGAAGACCGGGGAGAGTTGACGTCAGATTGCAAGAAGGATCGTGTCGTATCTATCGGTTTCTTACACGTGGCAGGCTGTATGAATCACACGACTTTCACCGTCCGAGTCGTCCCTTGTCGTAACGCTGGTGCGGCTCAATACTACGTCGTTTTCTGTGCAAATTATTTTGAAAAAAATGTTGTACGTTAGTATGTTCTGTTGTGTTGTGCATTTTTTATTACCTTTTTTTCAGTTTTTTAAATTTTCTTTTTTTATATATGCTGCACTTACTAATCTCTTGATCTTGCACTGTATGCGTGTGTTAATTGGATGTGACAAGTTACATTAATATTCTTTTAACCAAATAAATTAAATTGGTGTACATCATCCTGACATGGGCTAATTAATTAGTCCTTTTCAAGCTTAAAAAAAGACTTGTCCATTGCTATTAATAATAGTTTTTTAACCATATATTATGAAATGAAAACTTTTGACAATTCAAAACATTATCTACAACATTATTCTTCTTTTAAAATGTCCCAATTAGGCAACTTGTTTAATGTGACATTGTGGCTATTGGCCTTTCGTTTTTTGTTTTTTTTTTTGGGCTGTGATATTATTGGCCTTGTGTTGTTTCTTGTGTCATAAGTTTTAGTTCAAATGTCAATTGTGGATGAAACACGGTTACAACCTCCATGCATTAATTATATTCATGAATTCATTTTAAATTGCCGGACGCTTTATTTATATTTCGCGACATATTTATGTCCCAAATTAATTCACTTAGCAGTATTTAATTTGTAACAACAATTTAAATCAAAAGTCTCAATAAGAAAAAGAAAAAAAAACAATATTGACTTTCTGAACTTCATTATCTCCGGTTCTTCTGAGTGGTGGTGTGTTAGTCTGGTTGAAAGTATCATTGATTTATCTATTAGTTTTTGTTATATTTCCTTCAAGTGGATCTCGAGATCTAGTAATAAAAGTGCTCACAATTTTTATAATTAGGTTTGCCAATCACCAAGCTCTGATTTGATCAACTTTTTAAGAGGCAGTTATTGTTGTGGCTGCCACTCTTATTATTTAATGAAGTACTTTTTAGATTTTTAAAAAAAAAAAAAAGTATAAAACTTGTAAGTTTAGGTCGGATTAAACGGATATGTCTGAAGTCCGCCACTATTCACCGGAGTTGAAGTTTTGTGTCCAAAGCTAATTTAGACTAAGCCAAATGTATTATTTTTAAATTTTTTTTAAAAAAATACCGTATAAAATTCTGGATGAAACCGATCTTAAATTTTTTAGGTTTTAGGGTCGGATTAAACCGACTTTTACTTTTTTAGAGCCTGATGGTCTGAACTTACACCTCTATACGAGCAAATGACAAAAATAAGATATGTTACTTCAAGAAAATACATGCAAGGCATGTTCCTTATTCATATTGTTTACTAAACCCTTTATGAATATTAATGTGGATAGTTCTTTAATAGAACTGTTTTTTTTTTTTTTTAGCTTTTGTCGCAATGAGTAACTTGTGTACTTGTTTATAATCTACTGCAACCCCATCTTTAAAAGGTAATGGAAACAGGGGGAAAAAAAAGTGGGGATCAATCTTCAATCATGATGGATTAATTAGATTAGCAAAAAAAAAATTATGATGGATTAATTAGGAAAGAAATATATTAGTAAAAAAATTAGGAAATAAATAATTTCATAAAAAAAAGGAAAAAATAAAATGGAAGAAAAATTAGTCAATGGTTGGTGTAACTCTTGATTTTGAAGCAAACATTGGTAAGTAGAAAAAAAAAAAATTGAAATCTTATCTATAATTTAATGATGGGCTCCGGCCCATTGACGAAGAAGAAAGAACCGATCGTCGGTTCAACAATGGGCAGGAAATTACACGGTGGGGCCATGGAATTTAAGAAAGATATGATTCCACTGGGACCACGACACGTGCCTTGTGTGCCATTCGATTTGATTGTTGTCGGCCACGTTGCGTAGACTTATACGACAGTCAAAATGCACAACGATCAACTCAGTCGTCGCTTCCAAAACGTCGTCGCTTAGGTGCTTTACGGCACATTATGGGCTTGTTTGTTTCCCTTTTTGTTTCTAAGGCTTGAAGAAAACGTGTTTAGCGTAAAATTTTCTAAAAATGAAAAATAAAAACGTTTTTGTCATTTTTTGAAAATTTGAAAATGATTTATTCTTGTTTTTCTGTTTTTGTTTTCTCTCATTCGTTTTTCTTTTCTTTGAAAATATGTGCTCGTTTTTCACTCTTCTGCGACTGCGCTCCCTCCCCCGGCAATATATTTAATATATTATTATTTAATATATTTAATATATTATTTATTTAATATATTTAATATATTATTACGTGTTTTTAAAAATTAAACCACCAAACACAATTTCAATTTTTTTTAAACTGAAAACAATCTCGAAATAAAATTACCAAACGCATTTTCAGAAATGATTCCAAAATGAAATAAAAACGTTTTCGTTTTCATTTTCATACAAAAAATAAAAACGTTTTGGAACCAATTCCAAACGCACCCTATATTTTTTGATTGTCGTTTGGCTCTATATTTTTTTTTCCCGTTTGGTACTTTTGTTATTCAAGAATATTCATCGTATTCTCCTCTTTAAATGGCTCAAAATAGACATATTTTCGACGAGAGATATCAGTTTTCTTTTTTTTTTTTCCTTAATTATATTACTTTGACTATTATATTTATTACAAGTTGTTCACTTTTTATTTCTTGAAAGATAAAAAGAATGTACATTGATTATATTAAAGAAAATGATTATATTGGTACATTGTACTTTTTTCGCATGAAAGCCTTTTGTAGTTGTAAATATTAAATTTGTACTTTTATAATTTCAATTTGTATTACAAAATATCCGGATAACGTATTTGAAGTGTTTGTAATCTGAATAGTTGTAATTGCTCTCTCAATTAGTTTGAATCATTATTTTTATACACATGCAAACTACATAATTATATTACAATTTCATAAAGTCGTAATAATGTGAACAATTTGACTTAAAGCTTTATGTATGGATCACATCAGTAAACCCGCGTGATCTTATGTAATTTAATTTTTTCGTATTAATCAGGTCTCCTCCCAGTTGTTTCTCTTCTAAAAGTGTTAATTAAGTAAAATATTAGTTAGTCTACTAATTTTTTTTTTTGAAATGATAGTCTATCAACATTTAATCTCACCCTATAATACCGATACACAAAGACACGTTTTTTTTTTCCTAACCGTCAAACGCGTACGATATTCACCTTAAAATTATCGTTGGACAATTTTTCCACACACAACAAAAAGAACGTCCATTTACTTTTCTTTTAGAGAAAATTACATATTCTACTTTTTTAATTATCTGACTCACTAAAAATATTTTTTTTAAAAACTCTACTCTTTAAATAGTTTTAATTTAAAAGGTAGAAATATACGGACTAATATTGAGGAGTAAAAAAAAAAAGGGTTCATTTCAATTATTTTTTTTTTAAATATGAATAGTTTAACATGGTTTGTAGTTACTTTTTCTTTTAATAAACAATATGGTTTATAATTGATGAACCCCTTTGGTTATTATACAATTCATTAGTTCAGATAACTAATTTAGTGCTCTCAAATTAAAGAAGTAATTAATTTAGTACTCTTAAGAGAACTATTCACGAGTTACAAAAACTAACTAAATTCACGAACTTATATAATGGCCATAAATTTGTCTCCCATGTTCTGCAGTGTGCCTGCGAGATGTGATTCCTCCATTGTGATGTTTGTCATGCTAGTTTTGAATGGTCATTATCAAATTTATCATGTTCTTCCAAACATGATTATAGGTCGGCAATTCACACGTCTAAAATTCAAACTCTTCCTCTACAACATTATTGTATCCGATCATCACGTTCATTTCTTGAATTGTTGACTATCAAAGTGTCTCTTTACATTGGATTTTGTGAAAAGAGAAGGAAAAAAAAAATAAAGTTGATCTCATTGTTGGTCTTTAAACTTGGTGTCCGAAAGTATTAATGCTACAACCCGTTAGAGATAGCTTGTGTTTGTGCTTTTAAGTAGTAGAAAAAGATACGCATAAGTTGATACCTTTTTTTATTAGTGTTTGAATAATGCTTAAAAAATATACTTATTGTTGGGATTTGTTTCCCAATTTGTGTATTGATTGTAATCGGATTTGATTGGCATTATTTTGAAAATATTTTGCTGGGATGATTGCATTTGGAAATATCTATGTAGCTGGCAAGTTTCTTTTGGCAAGTTTCAAAAAATCCAGAAACTTGTTTTAGTTTATATTTTTCTAATTCAACCATTGATTCAAAGATGGAAAATTGATTTGATTGATTCTTGATTGAGATTTCATAGCTGGATGATCTTCCTATGTTGCCTAAGAACGTGTCCAGGTTCGTTTATCAGTTTTGGGAAGATTTCATAATTAAAGAAGATTGATTCATCTGGTTTTGAGAAAGTTGGCCGTAACAGCTATGTTGCAGTGTTGTTGCAACATGATCTGCAACAGATGTGGTTCAGTGAATTAATTGAAAATGTGTCAAGCTATTCACAGCTTGCTTATTTATTGAAAGAGTCTCTTGAGTAATTGTAGATCTCTTGATGAGTTTTTACTGGGTTGTGAGACAGGGGTGAGCACTTGTATTGAGTGAGATGATTTGAGTATTTTTCGGGAGAAAAACTTTGTTGGAGGGATTCCAATGTTAAAAAGTCGAGGGGATCTCGTTGTTCAAGTCTATTGGGAAACTACAAGTTCATAGGCGTCTTCTTAGAGAGGGAGTCTCGGGTAGATTAAGTCCAATTGAATTGTAAAAGAGTTCTTAGTGGATTGTTCATCATCTGGGCGTGGCCCCGCGGAGTAGGGTGTTACCGAACCGCGATACCATTTCTCTCATGTTCTTTTATTTTATGTCTCTACATTATTCATATTGTCTTATAAATTATTAAAAGACTAAAACC